TATGGTTCTAAAAAATATACTGTAGAATATTTAAAGTGATATAAAATGAAAGCACTAGTAGGACATAATTTAACATGATAATAAAAGTATTTAACTTTTTAAACTATTCTGTTAAGGAATCCGAACAGGAGTCCATGTGTCAATGATGCGTTTTAAGAATTTAGTCGCATTTTGAAAATGTTTTATTACTGAAAAGGGAATTGAAACCCCACTAAAATAGATAAAGTTACACATGGATATGTATATTTACCGAAAAACCATTTATAATTGACCATTAATATTTGTTAAGCTTATGGTGTAGTGTAAAGCAAATAGGATCAACGGAGGTCACCGTTGTCACTGAGCGCCGCCGAATCATATTTTGGCCGAAAAGGCACATCCGGTTGTCCTACTGTCTATCAAAATTTTCCAGCACTTTCAGAATCGTCATCCTGTAGGGTAGTATAGAAATAATTTATGTTCCGTAAGTACATTATCTTGATTCCCGTACGACTGAGGGAAGGTGACCATATTATTAGATTTTAATTTCCCAAATATTTTGTGCAGTATAAAATAAAACTTTTTCATCCGTTTGCTCAACATGTGTTGGAATTGACGAGCCTAGATTTTGGTCACATGGTGATTGAAGTCACATGACAGATTCAACTAAAAACCGTATCCCGGAACTGCCGTTTTGCTTACATCCACTTCATTCAGTAAGGTAGCTGGTTGTCTAATATTTTCGACGATAGATTATTCTTAAACTTCTGTAAAAGACTTTTCTGTCAGTGTAGTTTCATATTTCAATATAAAAACTGAGGATCACGGACCTTGTTTATTCGTAATAATACATTGAAATTAACGACATAATGTTTTACCGAATGAATTAAGGCTATGAGGTCGTTGATACAAATCCGAATTAGGAAACTAAATGGGTCTATCAATACCCACGCTACGTGAATTTTTACAGACCCAAATGTTGCAAAACACTTGTCCTACCTCCATGACAAATATGTTGTTGTCCCCGCAGATAAAGCCCCAAACAACATCGTTTTTATGTGTAAATATCATTACATAAACTGCTTGTTTAATGAATTAGGTATTGACAATTCATTTGGAAACTCAACATATTCCCTAACGAAACTTACCAAAGAGGAAATCCTGGATAATCATAGGCCGTTCTATGTTCCTTTGGAATTTCAACCAAAGATGAAGAACTGGATCTTCCATTACTGTATTGAATACCTAAACTACATAAGTGTCCTTACAAACAACGGTATATTGCTGGGTCTTCCAAGTGCACCACGAAACCTCTTTCTAAATTATTAACATCTATTTTATCAGCAATCAAAGCCGGGCTCCAAAGTTATTGTGAAACTGCCTATTCTAGAGGTGGCGTGAATCAGATGTGGATACTTAAAAATTCCAATGATCTTTTAGAGAACATACAATCTAAGACTCTCCATCTTGCAATAGTATTAAAACATTTGACTTTTCTACACTTTACACAAGTATTCCCCATTCCAAACTAAAACACAAATTGAAAGAGTTGGTATTACTTTGTTTCATTAAAAAGAATGGCGAACGTGGATACAAGAATCTTGTCTTGGCAAGGGATAAATCCTACTTTGTAAAGAATCACTCTGATTCAAACAAAAAATTCTCTGAAACTGACATTATCAAGATGCTTGATTTCTTGATTGACAACATATTTGTTACGTTTGGAGGACGAGTTTTTCAACAGACTGAGACTGTCGGAATTCCTATGGGAACCAATTGTGCCCCTCTTCTTGCCGACTTGTTTCTTTATTATTATGAGACTGGCTTCATACAGGAACTTCTTAGAAAAAAAGACAAGAAGTTAGCAATATCCTTTAACTTTACGTTTTGCTATATAGATGATGTTCTCTCATTAAATAATACAAAATTTGGTGACTATGTTGAACGAATCTATCCCATCGAACTAGAGATAAAGGATACTACAGATACAGTTAAGTATGCCTCATATCTTGACTTACATCTAGAAATTGACAATGAGGGTCGGTTGAAAACAAAACTTTATGACAAAAGAGATGATTTCAGCTTCCCGATTGTGAACTTTCCATTTCTATGTAGCAACATTCCAGCAGCGCCTGCATACGGAGTATATATCTCCCAATTGATACGATATTCCCGGGCTTGTATTTCCTATCATGATTTCCTTGATAGAGGATTGGTGCTCACAAGGAAGCTATTAAACCAAGAGTTCCAAATGGTGAAGTTGAAATCATCCCTTCGTAAATTTTACGGACGCCATCACGAGTTGGTTGACAGTTATGGAATAACCGTTTCACAGATGATATCATTTATGTTCCTTATGTCGTTACTTCAATACCCTTCCCTTTTCACGAATGTGACTTACCGAATTAGACTATTTAGCGGATTTGTAATAAAATAAGCAACACGACGGGTGCCACATGTGGAGCAGGATCTGCTTACCCTTCCAGAGCACATGAGACCTACCAGTTTTTGGTGGGGTTCGTGTTGCTTAGTCTTTAGTTTTCTATGTTGTGTCATCTGTACTATTATTTGTCTGTTTGTCTTTTTATTTTTGGCCATGGCGTTGTCAGTTTGTTTTCTATCTATGAGTTTTACTGTCCCTCTGGTATCTTTCGTCCCTCTTTTACATTTGTCATTTCGGGGCCTTTTATAGCTGACTTTGCGGTATGGGCTTTGCTCATTGTTGAAGCCGTACGGTGACCTATAGTTGTTAATTTCTGTGTCATTTGGTCTCTTGTGGAAAGTTGTCTCATTGGCAATCATACCACATCTTCTTTTTTATATTTGGGGTATTTTATTTTGTTTATATAGGGAAATCTTAAATTTTCCTTATAGAGGAAACATTAAACGGTAGAATTGGCTAAAATTCGATATGAGAGAATTGCTTTTCATTAATTCTTCTGAAATATAAAAAAAAAAAACAATAGGGGGTCACGGTCAAATTTTTTTGAAGAATAAAAATATTGATAGTTCAATCTTTAAATTTCAAGTTTCAGGTATTTTATTGTATATTGATACTTGGTAAAATATTTTTAAAACAAAAAAGTATTTTTCAACATGACCAGAACGGACGCTCAGATAAAAAAAACCCCATCCAATCTACCTTAAAATGTAGCAGATCTATAGTTGTCGCATTTGCAATCATACCACATCACCTTATTTTTATATTATATATAAAAAAAACCCGCAATTTATTTGCATTAGATACAGGCACAATTTGTATGGTCCTATACACAAGATAAACTCGTAGAACATTACATAATGAACTGTCTCCTTGCCAACTTCTGAAGCAAGGTTATCGGCTCTCCGAACTTTCCTGAAGTCCTGAGTGTATTGCCGACTTTATGAGCTTCGATCCTTGCTTGGAAGTTGTCTCCTTGCATTACACTGGATATATTCTAATGAAACTGCACTAGGTACATTTTTTTCGCATCACACTGGATGCATACATTCTCATAACATCGCCCTTGGCACATTCTTTTAGCATTACATCCTTACGTTTATAGCTTACCGCAGTACATTTCTAACATATAACTATACACAAAGCTGTAGAATCACAATATGCAATACGCTTAAATCATTACAATATACACTTAGGCGTAACTCTGCATGGGAATGATCTGTGCAACGCGAAGTTATATAAAAACAACCCTGATCTCTTTTATTGTGCTGAAATTCATATTTGCATTTTTTTTGCAGCAGAAATTTCCTAAAAAATTAGTCAGTTTATTTCCTTATCAATCGATTACGATTTAGCGTTTGCAATGCTTATAATTAGGAAAATATTAGATACATAGTGTGCTAGTGACCTAATACGGTATATATGGAATTTACGGACACCATATATACCGTATTACGTCACGTGTGATATTTAGACTAGTAACCTATCAAAATGAGCAAGTCTTCAATACCGTTAGCATTACGAAACTACTTCCATCGATCATACAAAAACAGATGCCAACAATAACAACTTGTTAGCTTTAAATGTGTTTTATGAATTTATTTCAATCTTAATCACCAATTTCTTCGTTTGTTGAAACCTTTAAGATTTTTTCTCAGTACCATTTTGTTTTTATAAAGGGACGTAACACCACTACTAACCGTGTATTGAAATAAGCCCAGCCTCCCTACTAACCTAATATGGAATATACACGGTCTCCACGCGGACGCTTTTAACCACTCATATTCCAAGAAATGTATAGGAGGTAAGATAATGTAACATACACTCACGATTTGTGTTACGATACTGCACTGAATAATAGCGTTACAGAGAAGCATTTGTGTTGACGTTACAGTAACATCAATTACGTCGCCTAATATTTTTCATTTTCCGCTTAAAACCAAACTTCCGGAGGATATAGCTTGAAAACTAGCACGGTAGCTAAGGACTTTCTAAGCACAAATGGATTCGTCGTTCATTTATGAATCGCATTTCGATTTCTTTTTTTTAAATTCTGTGTACTAACGATTTAAAAAATCTTGATAAAGTAAAAATATCTGCCGTTTTTTGTGGTTTTCCACTATATATCCTTTGTATTTCTGGTGTATCATGCTGTTAATTTCAACAGCTTGTATCTGAAAAACGAAAACGGTTACCCCCTTTTTTATTTTATATTCTGATGTATTTTTTTATAAGTAGAATCGACATGTAAAAATTTTAAAAATTCTGTGGAGTAGTTAATTACGTACACTTCGCCTTAAATACATTTAATATTATCAAAATAGATGTAAAACGTCATTTTACACCAGGACACTGACACTGAAGAAGTCAACTTGTTATATCCGAAACAGTTATTGATTCTTGAAATGTTTTATCAGTCTTATTTTGATTCATCTTTTATGTTGTTTGTAAATGTTTATTAACCATTATTTATCAAGTATTCTCTTCAGCATGAGGTTTATATCTTCAATATGTTGAACAATAAATTCTATGACGCATAATTCTAGCATTACCATACTTAGAGCTAAAAAGAGGCCGAAGATACCAAAGCTAAAATTTTAATAACAATATTGCATACTATATACATTCATTATATTACTATAAAATTTCTGTTTTCTCATTGGCTAAACATAAAAGGAATCTTCTTTTGTAAAACATCATATATCAGGAGAGGTTTATACATAAAATCTCAGATTTTGAACAGCCAACATGTACAAAGTAGCTATTTCCCTAAGCAACGTCATCGACAATGGCTTATGACGTGTTACAAATTCTCGTTATTCTTTTTCTTGGTCTTTTAAGTACATTTTATTAGATAATTCAACTTATAAAAGTTTGCAACTGCCCTTCCAAATCAGATTGTAGATATAGTTTTTAATTCATAATTCATAATAGTCCTGGAAGCTCTTCGACTTCGCATATTAAGTATTAGCCTTATTTAAGTTTTTGATCCGAACATCACTGATGAGTCATTTGTAGACCAAAGAGAGGCTAAAGATACCAGAGGGATATTCAAACTCATAAGTCAAAAAAAAAAAAAAAAATGACAGCGCCATGGCTAAAAAGGAAAATGACAAACAATCATGGTGCACAAAACCACAACATAGAAAACTAAAAACTTAGCAGCAGGAAACCCAACAAAAACTGAGGCTCCCCGGAAGGGTAAGCAGATCCTGCTCCACATGCTTCTGGTGTATACAATTATAAGCCTAGTTTCTTTTTAAAGTAATTTGTAAATATTTTTGAGCAAAAACTAATAAAAATAAGAATTGGATAAAAAAAGCCTTATGATAAATAAACTCATCATAGATACCAGGATTGTATTTGCGCCAGACACGCGTTTCGCCTACAAAAGACTCATCAGTGACGCTCGGACCAAAAAGAGCTAAAAAGCAAAATAAAGTACAAAGTTGAAGAGCATTCCTTAAGGTTTTGCCAAATATAGCTAAGGTAGGTAGAAAAGCCTTAGTAATTCAAAAACTTAAAGTTTTGTACTAAACAGTTAATTTATAATTATGACCATATCAATGATTATTCATGTCAACACAGAAGTGGTATATTATTTATGACGTGTTGATATTTTTCACTTTCTCCAACTAACGATGGTAGCTTACTACCTTAAATGTCAGTAATAAAACAAAAGTATACTTAGCGTGCCCCTTTGAAAAAAACCCACAAAAATTAGTAAATCTCTTAAATATTTGAAAATATGACAAAGCAATGCCTTATAGTTTGAACAAAATATAGTGTAGAGATTTAAACAGTATGGCTTTATAACATGCAAAGCATTAGGCACTAAGCATGTTTACAGGTATTTTATTTCAGTTATCGTCTGCAGTTACGTATTAACAGACGCTTGTTAGAAAACTCATTTGAACTTCTGACTGCATTTATTAGAAGTCATGTCCGACATCTCTAAGAAAAGGTAATTTCTGGTAATTCGTACTGTTTGTTGCACATTTTGTTTTGTCTTCATTCATCAGCTTTTCTCCTATTAGTTTTATCAACCACTGCATATGTTTGATCTACATGTATAACAGACATTTCCTTGTCTTTTTCGCTGCTATTCCTTACCAAAGTAGAAGCATGTTTAACACTGTCAGATTTTCTCCCTTTATCTACCACGGCATACTCATTATTGCTATTTTCCAAGATAGATATATGTTGTGCTTGGTTGTCTGATTCACGGAAGTTGACTGCCGCCTTTGGTTTATTTTGGATATCTGGACTGTTATCAGTAGTTCCTATTGAACTGTAGTTTCCGTCAGCTGTACTATGTTCTACATCAGAACTTCTACTTTTATTTACTACTCGTTTCTGTCCTAAATCTACCATATGGTAATTACCGTCCTCAATAATATCTTGTTGATCTGAGGAAACGTATAAAATATTATCCTTTAGTTCGCCATTATCAGAATCAGGATCATTGCTGTCATTCACAGTATATTCTTCATTTATAGTTTTCTTCTTCGATTTTTTCCTGTAATTAGAAATAATTATGTATTATCATACATGAAAAACAAACAACTTTAAAAAAAATAGAAATATGGAATATTGAAAATTAAGGAGCACATTCACCAAGGAGCCGTTATCTAACGGACGTTAATATACCAGTTAAGGTAGCTAAATCATCGCCTGTAAAAAACGGGAAATAGACAGTACATATAAAACATATATTAACTAAAATCATTCAAAATTAGAGATGATTGTTATATTGAATACGAACAAATTTGCGGTTAAATTGAAAGTTAGTAAACCCATTTTAAAATTAAAAAAAAACAAGTCAGAAAACAATAACCAATGATGCACAGAAAACTCGGAAAGGGGTATACAAGATAAATCAAACAAAAATTAGGTACGCTCTCTATTATATACATACATACGGGTAATTCGAACTTCGATATGCGATACGAATGTTATTTATCATTAAAATTCATTAAGATTTATTTTTTAAATAATCAGAATAGAAATGAACGCAGAAAGATCAAGATTAAAATAGTGGGGGAAACCTGAGCGTTATCATGTTTTCCCGTTGTATAAGAGTTAAATCTACTGATAAGTTCAGAGATAAGTATATGTATGGACGGCCTATTGTAACATGGACAAGCTTCCGTTATCAATATTTATCTGTCTCTCATATATGACAGTCATCAAATGTAAGCATTTGGAACATTTGATGTTGAAGAGTACGGAAGAATCGTCACAAAATTTATATAACTGTTAATAGTTAATAGAATAATGATTTTTGACACGTAATCCCATTAATTGAAAAAAATAGCAAATTATTTGTATTGTGCACTAACGATGTTGTCAGAGTAAAGATTGGATTCATTCCACCTAGAACTTTTTTCGGGAAAAACTGAAAAACGTCGTCCTTTCTGAACTCGAATTTTAGTCGGGACTATACCATTAATTCAAATACTATATTCGAAGTAGAATTTAAACTCGAATGGTTTCTTGAATACTTATTAACATTCTAACTCACAGTTTATGATTAACTTTACTCAACAATAATATAAGAAACTTCTCACATAAACCATTTAAGAGTTTGGAATAAATGGCTTAACTATGACAAATTCACATTTGGAGAAATGTAAAAAAAAAACAATGTATACCAAACTCATATATATATATTCGTACAACTGGTACACATAGGTGTCGTCTTCATATGTTTTATCCTGGCGTTTACTTAAATGATGATTGTAAGTGGAGAACCCATATTAGTTTTATGTTAGGAAAAGACTCAAACTGATAAATTTCCAGAGGAAATTGAAGCACATCTTATATCTATATAACATTTATGTTTTTCGACGTTAGAATATTATTTTGTATTACAAAACAACAATGGTCTACTGTACATATACGGCAAATCGCAAGGCAGCATGCATTGTAAGTGGGTTACCTAAGTAGACATTCTTGATACTCTAGCTGAAGCAGGTTGGCGAAACTCTTGCAAATACGAATAGCTATGGTCCATGAAAATTCATTGATCCGTTGAATAAACTTATTTATTTAGGTAACCAATTAACAACGTAGTTAGATCTTTAAAAATTGTTCTCATCTGTGCTAACTTTGATTTTTGATTTTGGCCATACAGATATGAAAATACATGTTCCTATATTATGTCAATACTGTGTACTTATATTATGACATTGTTCAAAGTCATGCTTTTCTCAGACTTTTATGAAGTCACTGCACTAAATCTGTTGGATGTTTCCCCGAATGATAATTTATTCTGATTTATTTATTGTTTGTTATTGGCTTTAAACTAGCTTGCAGTTACTGCATGAACTCTTAGATGGGTTTATTTTGTCTTTATGTTATGCATTTGTATCTTTAAATTAATCAATTAAATACGTACTGATTTATATTTGGTTTTGGATACACTATGTTCTTATTACTTGTAACTAGTTTTGACGAGTACTCTTCGATCATTACTTCATCTCTTTAGACTTTTTGTAAGTTGTTGTTTTTATACTTTGTACATCATTGATGAATCAAGTTATTTCCAAATGTTTTTTTTACAGTTTGCTCTTATGTTTTGTTATTAAATCAATATCAGTTTTAATATTGTTAAGCATGAGATATTTTAAATATTTCAACGTTTCTAGTTTATATTTTGTGAAATGTTTTTTTTTCTAATTTGCATTACATTTGACACATTTGCCGATTTTCCGTTTTTGGAGATTTCATGATAGAATCTTAGTTTTCACATAACATAGTTATAATCTTATCAGTTACTGTATACTAGATTTAAACTATAGTAACACTTGACAAATGTTCCTTTTTGGGAGATTTTATGATAAACTATTCTTCCTTTTTGTCTTTAAATACTAATTTCTGGTTAGGAATTTCTTTTCAGTTTTCTTATACAGTCATGTTTTGATGATTTAAACATTGGAACATCTAAATATCTATTTTCCTTATTGATATCAACATTTTCTGTTGTATATTTTTTTAATAGAAATCCTAATAGAAGATTTTAGCTTCCATTAAAATCTGTACTTGTTTGTTTATACAAAGACCTTTATTATTCACCAGTCTTGTTTCTGTGTCGAAGGCCTCACTGTAACTTTTGGATAAAGAACAGCTATAAAAGCGCTGTTTCTTTGCCTTTAGTATGTTTTTTTTTTATGATTTTGTGAAATTCTGAAAATGTATGCAGCAAAACAATCTATTTTATGGTCATGAAACGATTGATAGCTCAGTGTTGATCTGAGATCTTTCCTATTTCACACAAATCAATAAATCTGGCATAACAACATCACGTACACAGCTAGAGAGGTTATTTTCAAAAGGTATAATGAAATTGATCAGCTTCAACAAGTCCTTGTTTTGTAAGGATTAGTTCCATTCTATTGAGGACTGTTGGTTCGAGGTCTTTTGTTGTTAGTCATGAGATTATTTCATGAAAAAGCAACAAAAATCCAGAACCCCGAGGAAAATCCAAAACGGAAAGTCTGTATTTAAATGGCAAAACTAAAAGCTCCAATACTTTAAACAAACGGACAACTGTCATATTCACGAAATGGTACAGGTATTTTCCCATGTAGAAAACGGTGAATTAAACCTGGTTTTATAGCTAGCTAAACCTCTCAGGATTATTTTCTAATGTACCTTATCTTTTAAAGATTTTGGTGACGGAATACCAAAACTGCATTTTTCTCGTTGTTGTCATTGTAGCGTCATTCATAATTTTTGTGTTTAAAGGAAATAGTGTTACATCGATTACCTTCTACAAAGTATAATCAATAGAATAGTTATAATCACAAGCACTCCTCCTGCACCGGCTCCTATATATATGTACAGTTCTAACTTTTCATCTGTAAAAAGAAAGAATTCCATACGATTCTTTTCATCTTTGAATAAATATAACATTCAACTACTAGTAAGTTGTATGTATTACTGTATCTTTAATATCAAAACTTTGAATTATTTAAATATTAAGGCTTTTCTATGAGAAATACCTAAGCTGTATTTGGCAAAACTTTTAGTCCCCAATGCTCTTCAACTTCGTACTTTATTTGGCCTTTTTAACTTTTTTAGATTTGAGCGTCACTGATGAGTCTTTTGTAGACGAAACGCGCGTATGGCGCAAATACAAAATGTCATTTATCAAACATATAACAACAGTAAATGGTATGTCTTTCTTTCATTTCTATTGATAAGTATGCTATATAATTATATAACGATCTATAAACTAAATTAATATTAACCATTATTTATTTTAAAGACAATTCTTTTTTCTCTCAAACTGTTTCTTATAGTTCAGATTACTTTAGGTATTTTTACTGTATATTTTATATAATACATACTGAATAAAGACAACATAAGTATACCGCTGTTCAAAAGTAATGAATCGATTGAGAGAAAACAAATCAGGGTTACAAACTAAAACCGAGGGGAACACATCAACTATAAGAAGGTAACAGCGTAACAACATTAACACTGAAGTGCAACAAAAACAAACGCAAACAAACATAGAAACAAAAAAATTGATAACAACTGCCATAATCCTGATTTGGTACAGGACATTTTAAGAAAAAATGGTGGGTTGAACATGGTTTTATGGTCAACCAAACCTCCCGCTTATATGGCAATGTTAAACAATATCGCTAAAAGGAAAACACTATGTGACAGGAATACATCAGAAACAAACACAAGAATACTGAGCACAGAGAAACGCACAAATAAATAATATGATATCGTTACAACATGTTAACCGCAAAATAACAACGAACATCTTCCATTAACGACAGTGCAGGACAAAACAAACTGGTCGTACTTTTGTAACGAATATATAATCTTGAAATTCATACAATTATTCCACAATACTAGTTCAAACAATTATAATAATTATGATTATGACATTATTGAAAGAGGCTATTTTGAATAAAAGCTGTGATGACGTCATAATTAATTGGACTTACACAATACCTTATCAACGGAGAATGGAAATTATCTCGACTATAGTGACAAATAAGACATATGTGAAATGTACCGAAAATACAGAATTTAAACATCAAACGATAACCCATAACACAATATCCACCAAACACACAACAGAAACATCATAACTAAACACATGAATGTTATATTTGTTGTATTTTTTTAAATATGTGGAAGTCTAGTTACGAACATAATATATAATTGATGTTTCTGTATTTTGCTTCAAACAAATATTAACTTAACTACATCTTTAAATGATTAGCATTACCCTCTTGATTGAATCCTTTCTTTGATACAGTGGAAGTTGTCTGTTCAGGATCATCACATTGTATGTTTAATTGTACATTGGAATCATTCGCCGGATCATCTAATATAATAATTATTTTCTATTGTTTCATAGTATACATAGTAAAGTACTATCGATTGCATGTTTAGATTTAAAACAAAATTCTTTAATCATACAAATGCACTCCATATACTTTTAAAAATTGAAGATGCGCCTTTTTCACGTCCTTTCACTCTTAACAAATTTAGAAGACACGAATTGTTTTTGTGTTAACTCGGGGGTTTACTTTTTATGTCTACAGAATTTTAGAGGGAACGCAGAATTAGCGCGGCGTTTTCATAAAATGCACGCAAATAAACGGTGAGTTAACGTTTCCGTCCGTCTACATGTAATTCATGGTCTGCACCAAACTTTAGAGTTGCCTCAGCATGATTTAGCCGAATGATTTGAAATTCTATTATTTTCAATGAGGCAAAATAATAGGTAACCATCTCTTTTGGGTTATTCAGTAAACCGAAAGTCTTTTGAACTACTTGCCAGGGGAATTTCAGGCTTGAATCATAAGTCACATTATTCATGGAAGTTGATCAATGGTATCGGAATTGTTATGCAGCACCCAGAGACAAGACGCTCATGGGGTAAAACAAAGAGCGAAAAATCGATTATACTTTAACACATTGTTTACCATTTGATCGATCGTCAGATTTTTAACACACTGTTGCGAAAATTTGTATGCACATCCAGGACAAAAATATATTAACAATAAATCTTATATGAGCTGCTTCGGATATAAATAGACCTTATGAAAGTCCACGTATACATGTTCACAGGCCAATACATGAAATCCAAACTCCACCAAAACTGCGGGTAAAAGATGTATGAAATCAGAAAGAGACCATAAAACATTCCAGTCTGTTTTCCGGTCTGTTTTGGTGTTTAGGTAAAGAATTAGAGTTGTTATTACAATACATTGTTGACGATTTTTATTGGGAGATGTTATATATTAAACCATATATATTTTTATAGATGAGAAACAGGCAATATATGCCCTCAATTAAAAAAAAAAGAAAAATAACAGCAATAAAAGCGCTGTTCCTTTGTTTTTTCCCCCATATCCTTTGTTTTTTATGATTGTCATGTTAACTTGCTACTTATTATATTGCTGTGTAACAGACATGCTTGACAGGTTTTTCAACACGCCAGCTCATAAGATAACAAACAGCCCGCTATAAGATACGTCTTCTCAAATAGGAGTCATTTTTCCTATTCTTTTAAACGTCCCTTGTATCGGTGTTGATTAAGCAAAGAAACCATTTAAAGTCTTTGTATTGATTTAGCCAAGAATCGAACACAGATCTCTTGACACTATATTTTCTACTTAAGAAAATGCCTGTACAAAGTTATGGATATGACAGTTGTTATCAATTCGTTTGATGTGTTCAAGCTTTTGATTTTGCCATTTGAATACGGACTTTCCGTTTTGAATTTTCTCATAGTTTGGTATTTTTGTTATTTTGCTTTTTGGTTTGTAGCCTAATCAATTAAATGATTAATTGAGCATAAAATATATGAACAAATCACCAAATCAAACCTTAGCTAGATGTAGATGTAGTGTTTTTGTTTTGTTTTAGCATTTAGCTTACAGAAATTTTTGCAGTTTTTCAACAATGATTTTCTGTCAATCAAATCTTAAGAATGTCTTCTTTAGGTCAAACGAAAGAAAAAGAAAGGTCTTATATTGATTAAGAAAAAACAATAACATGAAGACAATGTGATTTACAACTTTCTAAAATTACCAAGAAAACTAAACATTGATCACTTACTTTCCGAGATACTTAGTTTGATTTTTCAAGCACAAACAGAATATTTTACATTTCAATACTTTTCCGAAAGAATAACATTTTCTTCAACAGGAGATACTCTCATCAGTTTTATTTTCTTCAAAGTGTTCTTAACTTTATAGGCTTTTAACATATTTTTTTTAGTAAATACCATATTGAAGGCTGAAGGCGATTAAATTTTTTTTAAAATAAACAAATATTGGTAATATTGAAGCAAATATACAATTTTTCCACCACAACAGGGACATATGCATACAGAGAAAAATATATACGTGGTATATCCTAGCAATTTTTATATAACATTCTTGATACGATCGATTGCGAATAAAAATAAATTGGGATCCAGGTGCTTATCATTTAGTTAAAAAAACAAAAATCTTATCTTTTAGAAACTGGAGATCCCATTTTCCTCTTCATGGCGATACCATGCATCGCATTTTATTATTTATGCTACAATGTATTGCAAAATTTGATTTGTATAAATGTGATATGAATTACCATCACAATTTAGAACATATTAATGATTAAAGGAAATGTTGTCCATTTGGCTTGAATCGTAAATTATCGTACTTGTATATATGCCGCATATCCATTTTTCTTTGCAAATTCTTTCGATATTTTACCGATTTGATGATGGCAGGGAGAGTGTTATGCTTATCACTATTGACTTTTTATTGAAACAACGCGTTACATTTCAGCTCGTTTATGAATGCCTCTGCTGTATTGTTTGCCCTTAAATTGGTCATAGAACTAGATTTCAAATTTTTGTCTGTCGCGTAACAGGTAAGGAAGCATCGTGCATTTAATCATTATTCTATAATGAAACAGAAACATACCTCTAAATATCTGCATGCAGTATCCTCTGGTAAAATTACCACCAATAATTCTTGATTTCAGTTTAATAACACCATTTTTTTCTAGAACAATTTTTCGGGTTTTTTTCGTTCCATTTTTACATTGAATTGGGTCCAGATTTCTTTTCAATACTGTATCAGTATAATCAACATCAATAGCTAGTCCACAGTTTGGAGTCGATGGAACTGAACTATTCAGACTTCTGTATCTTTTCATTTGTACAGAGTATTTGCCTGTATTATTTTTTAAACTGACACGACATGTACAGTTAGCTTTCTGCTTCATTACACGTATAATTACACTGTCTATCAATTTCCTTCCGTCAACATTGTCTTCAAATGCTTGTTTGCCTGTACACATGTCTGCAACTAGTGGAAGAAACATCAGTAAATGTTAATAGACAAAAGTTGTGTTATTTCATGTGACTAATATATAAAAGAGGAATGATTTTAGTTGAATATTTTCAAAATGGAACTTCCACTATTTTACTTTTGTTCTTGTCTCAAAAACATTCACAAAAAGTATATCAACTCATTTTCCCTATACTCTTACTGGTTATTAATTTACGGTTGTTTTAGAAGTACGAATCTGATAATCACGAAAAGAAATTAGATTATGTTATACTTTCGACATTACATTAAATTCTGTAAAACAAAGAAAGATATATTTAAAGGATTTATATAAAGTCGGTATCTGTCAAATCATTATGAGCTTTATTCAAATCTAAGCAGACTACTAGTATATCGGACCAAATTAATGGCGATCGGTTCCGAATTTACATGTACCTGTATCGAGTGGAAACTGTGAACATACCAGCATGTATTTGTAAAGACAAATTTTCAGCGTTATCACAGTGTAATGTTCTATAACAAATGCATACCATTATGAAAACAAAACCTGTATTGTCTGACCAAAATAAAACTTTGGATAGAAACAGAAATTATAATATAATACCAATCTTATTGTCGATGCCACTGGAACATGGGTCATCTACAGCGCCCAATACTGAAAAATATAATGCATCTCGTCATCGGTTATGTACACAAAGAAAAAGAAGTGAAAGAACAAACAGAATAATTTAATATTTGTAATTCAATTCTCGAAATTCAGATTTTTTTGCGTTTATTATTGCGCTTGTTCTGACATTTTTACCTGTTATGTTTGTTTGTTTTGGTTACATATTGTTGTCAAATTAATGGACTTTTATACGACTGTCATACAAGCGAGAAGTTTAGGTATCTATAAAACCATCATTTTTTACGTATTAAGGAAGAAGTCAGGAATATGACAGTTAAAATTAAATGGGGAATCTGTCAAAGAGCCAACAACCTGACCAAAGAGCAGAAAACAGCCGAAGGCTACCAATTGTCTTCAACAAAGCGAGAAAATCCGGCACCCAGAGGCGGGCTTCAGCCGGCCCCTAAACAAAATTGTGTACTGGTTCCAGGAAAATGGACGTCATAATAAAATCCAAAACATATAAATGAACTGAAATTAAATTAACTTAAATTGTTTTCCATTCGTTTGATGTATATGAGCTTTTGATTTTCCCAATTGATAAGGAATTTTTCGTTTTAAATTTTCCATGGAGGTATTTTTGTTATTTTACTTTTGTTTAGACACATAAACGTTGTATCAGTCATCAAATAGGTCATTACTACCGTAAAACGTATGTTTAGTCGATTTCATTTGTTTTCCTCATAAATCTGTTTGAGCAGTGTTCGGAGCAAGATGATTATTCGGCTAACGAAGTCCATATAGTGTGAATCGAGATATGTTGATGAAATATATGTGTGTTCAAAAGCTATGTTACTTTCGAAAATTTGGAAATCAACTAATCAAAAGTTAAAAACGTCACATTCATGCACTGTATCAAAATATTAATCCACTAATCCCACCAGATATGTTGGCAATCAAAAGTTTTATATGATATCAGCCTCGATGTTATTTGAAGACGTGTGATTTTTCGCGAAGAAAGATTTTACCACGATGTTTGGCCGAATGTCTAGACGACGCGGCTTTTGTCGTTCTTTGAAGAATTTTTAAATCGTTTGAGTGTCAAGTGAAAACAGGGATGTTTTATTGTCCTTTTTCAGATGATACCGAAGGATAGAAGTATGGATTTTGTGATTTTTTATATTTTTTTATGTGAATGATGTGAGCGTATATGTGGGATTCCAAGATTTGCTGCGAAGTTCAATTTAAAAAGTTTTGCATTTAAAAATAATATTGTTTGAGGCTTTGTCTGCTGGAGCAATAATATATTTGTTGTAAATGGAGGAAATGCATTCACAACCTCGGGTTTCTTAAATGGTAACCCATGTTCTCGTGTCAAATCGTATTTCTCTAACATGTCTCTGAATGTATGACCGAACACTTTTGATCCTTTCAGTCAAAGTGTCCTGTTTACAGTCATCTGTCTCGTTCTTCATAAATTTGCTGACATACAGCGGTTCACCTGCATCACTCAATTGCATGAAGTTCTTCTTCAAGTTGATTGGCCAGACCATTCAATATATTTGGCTATCGAAATAAGTTATTCAGTGTAAATAATACAAAGGTTCCTGGTTAAAACATATCCAGTAGCTATTGGTTAATGAACAAAGCAATCAGAAAGTTTACATTTTACATCCTTTTTATTATATTCAGATATATATATATATAAAAATTGATAACGAATAAAGTGATATAAATAGTAATGCTCATAGCTATTTAAATAGACTCATGATATTGACATAAAAACTAAATGAGTTCAAACTTTCCGTTGTCTTACTCGTCAATCATAGAACCAGAATCAATGTGATCCATTTGACAATTCGTTATGGAAAGACTTGCTGTGCAGTCAAAATAGCTTGTATTTCTGCTTTGTATCTATCTGATGAGTTGAGCCCTTTTCAGCTGATTTCTATAGCTTGCTCTTATTTTGGACTGTTACACCACTGTCCAAGGTTAGGCGGAGGGTTGATGCCATTAAACTAGTTTAACCCCAACACATTCTGTATGTGTCTGTCCCAAGTCAGGAGCCTGTAATTCAAGGTTATCTTTTGTTGCTGTATATCATATTTGTTTTTCGTTCATTATTATGTACATCCATCAGGCCGTTAGTTTTCTCGTTTGAAATGTTATACATTCGTCATTTCGGAGCCTTTTGAAGCTGACTACTCGATATTGATTTTACTCATTGTACAATTCCCTTTTTTAATTTCTGTTTAATATGGTCTCATGAGGAGAGTCGTCTCTGGCAATACTACCACATCTTCTTTATATAAAACTACTGAACTTTGTTCATTGTAGAATTACACATCAACACGCCCAACAGCAAATTACACTGTTCCAGAAGTTATTGAGCGACTATATCTTTTAAACTTGCTAGTACAATTATGACGATAGCAAAACAACGGACTAATAAGACTAAGGCCGCCACAATAAAAATGATGAAAAATTAAAACACTATTACGTTATATATATATATCGCACATTACTTTTTTTTATTTTAGGCATATCTTTGCAGTCTCTGTTGTAAATAGCTATATAACATGCGTCATGTTTGGAAATTTTAGAATTGTACTAGCATCTCTATGATGTTCGGGTAAAACAGTTTTATTGTATAGATTTCAAGATTGTTATAGTTTTATAATCAGAATAGATTGATATGATTTATTTTACATCGTGATCATACTGATTAAGGATATCTGTTATCCAAAATATTTAATGTTTGTTCATTTTATTATTATTTTTTGGTAATGTTGTACCTTTTTAGACTTGTTATATATTATATTTTGAAGTGTAATGTATCATAATTATATGATCCATCGCCCCGTAAGATTTATCATTGGCTATTATTCAGTCATTTAATATATATATATATATACATCTGTTGTAGAGTTGTCACTGGTTTGGACGTACTTATAAATATAATTATTTCTGTGACTGTATCTTGCATTAATTTGTAGGATCCTTTACAAAAGATATTTCAGCTGATCTGTAACAATTCACTCTTCATGCCTTATATATCATGTACTGTATTACGACGCTAGATTAAAAACTGACGAGGAAAGGTATAACCTGGCCACCGAAAGCTTTATTATTTGAAGCCTAGGTGGTCGTGTGGTCTAGCGCGTCGGATACAGTACAGGCGATTTGGTTTAACGATATCTCAGTAGCATGAGTTCGAATCCCGGCGAGGGAAGAACAAAAAATTTGTGAAGCAAATTTACAGATCTAACATTGTTGGGCTGATGTTTAGACGAGTTGTATCTTTATATATATATATATATAGAACATTTTTCAAAAGACTAAATGAGTGAAAAAGGATATTCTAACAAAAAATGCGTTTTGTTAAAATATACTTTTTCACTTTTTTGGTCTTTATGAAAATGTTGTTTGTGCTGTATTTAGACCCCTCTAACAAGAAATTTGTTCTGCATGCACACGTATAATAATTGCGGTTTTTATCCAACGCAATCATAGGTTTGAACGTTGTTTTCAATTTAGACTTGTATATATATATATATATATATATATATATGCAGAACAAATTTCTTGTTAGAGGGGTCTAAATACAGCACAAACAACATTTTCCAAAAGACCAAAAAAGTGAAAAAGTATATTTTAACAAAACGCATTTGACTAACAGGTCGAACAAGAAATGTTCTTAAACCCTGCTGACTGCCATTGGCGATTGCCAAATAAATAAATAAATATATATATATATAATTCGTCTAAATAACAGCCTAACAATGTTAGATCTGTAAATATATACATATGAACAAGTCTAAATTGAAAACAACGTTCAAACCTATGATTGCGTTGGATAAAAACCGCAATTTGTATACGTGTTCATGCAAAACAAATTTCTTTGTAGGTTCTAAATACAGCGCAAACAACATTTTCCAAAAGACCCAAAAAAGTGAAAAAGTATGTTATAACATGACGCATTTGACTAGCAGGTCGAACAACTGATGTTCTTAAATCCTGCTGACTGCCTTTGATGATTGCCAAATAAACGGATCACCAGATGTAATAAAATGGATCTTATTAATAATTTATCACCAAACAGAAAACAATAAACTTGCGGAAAAGATGGTATACCGCAAACATGAGGTGCAAAAATTTGTACACCATATCCGGATTTCGACAATTAATGTCTCTTCAGTGATGTTATATATATATATATATCTGTATATACAGCAGTCAAGATAATCTTATGATGACAAGAAACTTTTAATGTTTTGTTGTTCTGGTGTTATCGCTTATGCGTGTTATCGTCTATCTTTCAATCCACCTTCCTCAGCTTTAAATTCATATATACACATCACAGAAGCAAAAGTTAGATCAAAAACCTTTTTCATTCTGACTATTTTTACATGTTATAATAATAAAAGGCCAAAGTTAGTAAAGGATATTGCTGAAAAGACATACACATAACATAGACGACTATTGACTAAATAAAGGCAACAGCAGTATATCGCTGTTCAATAGTCATAATTCGATTAAGCAAAATCAAATCCCGGTAAAAAAATAAAATCGAGGGAAACACATAAGCTATAAGAGGAAAACAACAAACATAGAAACGTACTTTCTGATAACACCTGCCATATATCTGACTTGGTACAGGTCATTTTAAGAAAACAAACGATGGATTGAACAAGGTTTTATGAGTAGTCAATCCTCTGGCGTATAAGGTAATGTTAAAAATACCTCAACAATGACATCACTACGTACTGTACAAACAAACGCAAGAACACTCAGCACAAACAAATACATAAATAAATAATATAATAGTACATTACAACATGTAAACCGAAGAATTAAAACGGACACATCCCATGAATATACGACAACACAACATGACACCACAACTGAAATATGAACTGCGCATCACATGAATGGACCAACTCGCATAAAAGGGCATATTTTTGTGACGTTTATATTATCACAGATAAATGTTTAGAATAAATAGAATCGTTTATTTATAGATACGTACACGAAAATTAAATGGGGATTGAGATGGAGTTATTTTGTGTATTTTCTAGCCATGACAAGAATATTAAAATTGAATTGTGTTTGTAGTTGTGTTACTATTTGTATTTTCTAACCATGTCAGATTTTGTTCCAAATCAAAACTGTGTATAAGCAAACAGAAATCCTGTGTATATTGTTGCTTTAAACTTAAAATCGTATCAATGAAACAGCTGATTTTGTATCTTACAGATTAGAAGATGACGTATGAGTGCCAATAAACAACTGTCCATCAAAGTCACAAAAATAAAAAGTACGGCCTTCAACACAGAGCACTTGCTCACACCGAACAGCAAGCTATAAAGTTCTCCAAAAATAACTAGTGTATAACAATTCAAACAGAAAAACCAAAGATCTAATCTATGAAAAATTCGAGAAACGAGAAACAACAATGAACCACACCAACAAACAACAACCAATGAACAGGCTCCTGACTTAAGACAGGTGCATAAAAGAGCAGCAAGTTTGAACGTTTTAAACATATGCGTACATATAGAAAATGAAAATAAAATAACTGTAACATAAGACAAGAGCATGTAAGGCCAAACATTAAACGCACATGAAATCAAACAACATTAAACAAGAACCCTATAGACGAACCACGAGTAACTGCACTAAACTGACAAATAAGACGTATGGGAAATGTACCGCGAATACAGAATTCATACCACAAACAAAATAAACAGCGAAAAACTCATTACAAAATGACCTACCGTACTCACACGTACACAGGAAAATTTTGAACACGTGAATATCACATGAATCACTTATGAAATTCACGTGAAAAACGAGCTTATACATGAAACTCACATGACATTTTTCATGTAAATTTCACGTGAATTGAGATTAAATTTTCAAAATTCACGTAAAAAAAATTCATGTATTTTTCACTAAGCATACCAGACGACGTAGATGGTAAACCATAATCTAAGAAATTCAAAATGTTTAAATCTTTCCTCTTCATAACTCTGTTGGAGCAGTTTCTGCGTAAAGATCACACTCTTGTATATGAAGTCCGTATAGTGTGAACATGCACGAGCATAACGTACCAATTGAGGTATGTAAACACCATACAACGAGTCAGAGGGTGTGTCACTGCTGAGAAATAGGAAATTGATAATTGAGAAGTTGGAATCATCCTGTTTGTCATAGATTTTAGTCTGAAGTTGTCCATTTGTGTCAATATTGAGGAATGATCCGTTTAGTTTCAATAGTATCCTGAGTTTCAAGTTCATCTGGATATATGAGATGCAAGTACTGACTGAAATATAGGTTATTCATCAATATATATCTGAAAGTAAAATTAAAGAATTTCGCAAGATGCTTTTTGTTATTGTCTTTTAGAAGGTTCTGAATAAATTCTGCCTCATACAAGTACAAAAACAAATTGACCAGTAGGGGAGCACAATTTGTACTCATTAGAATAACAACTGTCTGTTGAAATATCAATCCTCAAAACCCAACAAATATATTGTCGATCGAAAAGTCATAAACAATCATGTTCAGTGTATTTTTTGATAAAATCAGTGTGATTCTTCAAAAAATAAGACTAATATTAAACAAAAACAAGAATTTTTTTATCTCTGATTCCCATTTTCAAAGAAAAAGCTCTAAATTGAGCATGGGAAATATCAGTGTAAAGCGTAGAAAATCAAAGGTCTTGATGTTGCTGCAATGTTGCACAGATTGTGATCTAAGATTTAGCAGTAGATCTTAAGAATTTTTAAGAATCCACATCAAAATATTTCTGAAGGCCATCTTTAACTGTAGAAAGAATAGTAGTTAGCACTTTAGAAAGATATTTAGTTAGACATCTTGCTTATTCAGCTTTAGATCGTTATTTATACGGAGTTTTGTAAGGTATCCAGTATAATGACGGTAGATTTTCCTCTTCTTGCAATACTTATGATGTTAATATAAAAAGAATGAAGGGCAGATTAGGGATTTTCTAATATTCCATCCTCTGTAAATGATGTTATAGAATATGCAGTTTTGTTGTTTATTCCAAGCTCTTTCGTGAGACATTTCAAATAATGGTTTTTACATATGAAGACAATTTTATTGGAAACTTTATCTGCTGGAACAACGACATATTTGACATGAAAAGAGGGTAAAAAGTAAAATCACAAAAAAACTGAACTCCGAGGAAAATTCAAAACAAAAATTCCCTACTCAAAGGGTAAAATCAAAAGCTCAAACATTAAGAATCTACATCTGATAGACACCACAGGTTGAATATATCTCATCACAATAATTTTGAAAGCCATCTTTTACTGTAGAAAGAATAGTAGTCAGCACTTTAGAAAATTGTTTGGTCCATCATCTTGCTGATTCAGCTATGGATCGTTCTTTATACGGAGTTTTGTATGGTATCCAGTATAATAACGGTAGATTTTCTTCGTCTTGTAATACTTATGATTTAATACAAAAAGAATGAAGGGCAGATTTGTGATTCTCTAATATTCCATCCTTCGTAAATGATGTTAAAGAATATGCAGTTTTGCTCTTTATTCCAAGCTTTTTTATGTGAAATTCCAAAAAATGGTTTTTACATATGAAGACAATATCATTGGAGACTTTATCTGCTAGAACAACGACAAATTTGTCATGAAAAGAGGGTAAAGCATCCACTACCTCGTGGTTCTCTAACAGGTTAGAAACCCATGTGCTCATAGTACATCGTAGTTTCTGAATGCTTTGTCGAAACACTTTGAATCATTCAGACAAACTATCCAGTGACTGAACAAAAAGTAAGAGTAAATATCATCTTATCATTTTGAATCAACTTACATTGTCGGAGCACCTGAAATCAACCCGGTTTTTGGTACAGTGTTAACTGTTCATTCTTTAGTTTTATGTTAGAGCTTTGTATGCTTTTGTTCGTTTGATCGTCGATTTTTGTGTTTTGCCAAGGCGTTGTTAGTTTTGTATACTTCTATGATATCTTCCGCCTCTTTTATACAGTCTTTTCTAGTTTCAAATAATACAAAACAAGATTAAGATGAGTTAATATAAACTGATCCTAATGATGAAGAAAAGATGAAGTGGTAGCATAAAAAAACTAATATCGATAAAACCCTTTGATAAAGACTTAACTAAAAATGAACAAAAATAACATTTCAAATACCGTTATACACACGGAAAATTGTTTAAACAACAGGCAATATGCAAACGAGCTGGAATAGACCAAAATCTTACCTTTCATAACAGTAAGTAACAAAATTATTGGCAACAAACATGTACAACTAGTAATCTTCATGTTAATTAATAATACAAACTGCAGTAATGAGGAAGTACACTCTGCAAACTCTATAAACCGGTGTGTATACTCAATTACAGTAATTGTAGGTGACACTTATAAGTCAAGTTTAAAAGTGTTTAATCGATGACTACTCCCTACTTTGATAAACTGGAAGTGTTTCATATGTAAGTATTTCTAAGTTCTAAGTGTATAAATTTTATCAGTGACTGGATACGATTCATTTACATTGTAAACCTGGGTTTTCATTTTAGCAGTTGATTTTAATTAATTTTATTGTTCGATAATATACTTTTTGATGAATTTAATTGTCAAACTAAAAGAACCACATCTTGAAACATCAAACCCAAAGGTCAATGTTTATACTATTCGTTTTGTTCTAATTAAATCAGAATATTTATTGGATTTTTTGTCGCTTGGATTACCCAATGCAATAGGAAAGAACAAATTGTTATGCGATTGACTATTATATATTTGACGAAACAATATCCAAAAACAAATTAACTATAATGGTCAGGCAGTGACCGAAACATGAATGTCTCAGATTTTGATGAAAACTTGCTTAAATCATCTGAATAACGTGGTATAATGAAGGAATACTTTTAGACTATATATGTATGGTTCTATTGAAACGGGCAATTTTATTTTTCCATATAAACAAGTCATTGAGGTTTAAATAAAACCCACTGTATTTCACTATTTCAGTCTCATGAAATCTGCTGTTTTATACACTCTTGTATTTCTACATTGTACTGCAAACTTTTCAACTACCAACTATTCTTGAAGAAAAACTATTTTGATAAAATACTATTTCATTCTAGAAAAAAAATGGATTACGGATGGTCTCCAGGGACCATCCTGTACAAAGAATGCAAATAAGGCCAGAAATCAAGTTCAAATACTTTCTATTACAAGATAATACTTGGCCCTTTAATCCGTTTGACAAAGCGACAAAAAATCCAATAAATATTCTAATTTAATTAGACTATAACTTATAGTATAAACATTTGACGCCGGTAAGAATTGTCCATATACGAATAAGGTTAACGCAATTTAAGTGACTTTCACTGAAGAATATTATTATACAATGAAATTATCTGAATTAGCTCCCTTTATATAGCTTAATTTTAATAATGTAAATAAATTCTGAATTTGTAAAAGAGGGACGAAAGATACCAGAGGGACAGTCAAACTCATATATCGAAAACAAACTGACAACGCCATGGCCAAAAATAAAAAGACAAACAGACAAATAATAGTACAGATGACACAACATAGAAAACCAAAGATTAAGCAACACGAACTGATCGAATATACCAAGCTTATTAGTTGCTGTACCAGACATTTCGCCAACGTACACGTCAGTTGTTCTTGAATCAAACAGTATGAGGGCTAAGTAAAGATTAGAATTGGCAATCCTATTTTATTATCAATGACGATCATAAACATAATTTATATGTGATTAAATAAAGGCAACAGTAGTATACCGCTGTTGGAAACTCATAAATCGATAGAGATAAAAACAAATTCGGGTTACAAACTAAAACTGAGGGAAACGCATCAAATATAATAGGAGAACAACGACACAACAAAAACACAACATTAAAATGTAGCACACAGAGAAACGAACTATAATATAGTTTATATAAACTTTACTACTGATTTTTTTGTAATTTTAAGGTGGCTGGAGCAACTTAATTGAAATCCAAAGAATATTTTAATAATTTGTCAAAATGATTTTTTTATCATGCTTTTGTCAAAAACATAATAAAAAGTATGGGTCATGGAAATTGTTTCACGCTACAGGTTGTGCAGAATTGTCAGATTTTGTATCGATAATGCATGAAAAATCCAATTTAGTGTGATAAAAAGTGAAATACACCATAGAATGTTAAGATAAAATGTGAGAAGATAGCTCTTATCACATGCTTTCAGATAAGATTAAGAAACACTGGGGTCACCGGACTTGTTTTCTTGCTATATTAAAATAGGTAAATTCACAACACTTTCTTTTATAAAATTACTTTATCTGAGTTATTTTCCTATCTATCTGAGTTATCTTTCCTTATTTGGCAGAGTTGAAAAAAAATGCAGTCGTAAATATGATAAAACACATATTTTTTTATTTACATTAAAAGTCTTACACATGAATTACTAACTACTCTCAAAATTTGCACATTTCATTAAAGATCTAGACCAATTGTTATCTGGTACTTCAAAATCCAAAATAGAGGAAGACACCCGAGCCACTATAAGATCAAAACATTTCTACATAAGAAAAAGCCTGTACAAAGTCGTTTGATGTGTTTGGGCTTTTGATTTTGCCATTTGATTAGGGACTTTCCTTTTTGAATTTTCCTCGGAGTTCAGTATTTTTGTGATTTTACTTTATACATCAAGTCTCCTACTCAGTAGAAATACATTTTTTATATTCATTTTATTTTTTTCAATACACATAATGCATAATCATGATAGTATACAAAGGTATATAAAGTATTCTTTACAGAGCAGATAATGCAATGATAGATATTTATAATAAAGTTAGTTTTAACAATTCTTACAATTCGCTGTTTCAGAATACAATGCATTGTGGGTGAAACGTAATCAACGCAATCATAGGTTTGAACGTTGTTTTCAATTTAGACGTATTTATATTTTTTCGTTTGGGCTTGTATTATATTTTCCTTCGTGTATATATGATCCGTTCATCCTATTTCGACTCTTCAAAATTCAAGAGTCTATCCTAAATTGAGGTAAATCATAAGCCCTTCCAAATACCGTTTCGATTCCTAATATCCATGAAGAGACATTCATTGTCGAAATCCGGATATGGTGTACAAATTTTTCAACCTCATGTTTGCAGTATACCATCTTTTCCGTTTATTGTTTTCTGTTTGGTATTGAATTAATAATAAAGATCCATTTTGTTATATCTTGTGATCCTTTTTTTGGCAATCGCCAATGGCAGTCAGCAGGGTTTAAGAACATCCATTGTTCGACCTGTAAGTCAAATGCGTTGTTTAAATATACTTCTAAAATTATAAAATTTTTAAACATGAAGTAGGTTATATAGGTATTTATAATAGACTGCAAAGATATGCTTCAAATAAAAATAGTAATGTGCGATATGAAATGGTACAATTCTAAAATTTAAAAGGTGACGACAGTTACGATGTTACAACAACGATTGCGTTGACATACATTCCCAATAAACAGCACTGACCGATCTAAGCTTGTATAATATTTTAAATTTGCCAACGGTACAGTAATTACAACTGAGGCTGCGTATTTAAACATCCCAAATAAATAGCAGTTTGATAATGATATATATATAAGTGCCTAAGAATGCAACTTTAACACACTAATGAGTGTTATAAAAATAGTTGTTATATTTTATATATTCACGCAATATTTCGCTAAACAAATTAGCCTCATTAGGCGCGTGCAGCCAACCAGGTAAAAAATCGGAGGCTGTTAAGAAATTTTTGCAGCTGAATTTACATTTTGTACATGTCTTTAAACATTGTTTTGCCGCTTATTGTACATTGCGATTCTTAAATTAAAACAAATAATTGTTTTAGTGAAATAGAATGAAGTTCAGGATTTATTCCTTTGGTTTTGGGTAAAAATGTTTTTCATCTTTCTCATTCAGACCATCAGGTTCAAGAGTACGTTGCTGATGCATCCAGAATCTCTCTCTCTGTTTTCAATTTTGGGTGTTCCAATTTTGGTTTACCTCTATTATTTGAAAGGTGATATTTTCTGTATGTCCTGTTTTTATAAGGTGTCTCATGATTGGGCAGTTTCTTCCTTTTGTATAAAAAGATCGGTGATTGTTAAGTCTGATGTTGAATTTAGTTTCTGTTCGCCATCATACTGCAGCTTGCAAGTTCCACAAGTAAGGATATAAATACTATTTTCCGTTTTACAATTAGATGCAAGATAGATGTTGTATCGCTGCTTTGTTACTGTGCTGCTGAAAGAGTGTCAGTGTTGGCTACTTTACAGGACTTACAATTGCTTTTTCCGCATTGTTTGTAACACCCAATTTTAGACGTCTCTTGGTTTTTTTTACTTTAGATGTAACAAGTATGTCTTTGAGATTTTTGGGTCAGCGATAGGCAATAACAGGAGGTGATGGAAAATTTCTTTTAAGGAAGAGTCATTTTCGATAAGACGCCAGTGCTTGCGGACAGTAGATGAAATATTTGTAAAATCGGGATGGAAGGTGACAACACACGGAATTCTATCTGGGCGGATCGTCTATATATAAATAAGAAGATGTGGTATGATTGCCAATGAGAAACATTCCACAAGAATACATGTATAGACATCTCTGTCACAAGCATAAAACCCTAACTGTAAATTATAATGGCATACTACACACTAAAGATATATATGTTTATCAATTGAAATACCAATCAAATCCCTTAATCTAGTATCTTCATTGAAGTAAAATGCGCTTATGTTGTTAACTTATTGTGGTTTGCTTGTGTTGAAAGATTAAGGGAATTATAATTAGATGACAGTCGCGATGCACTTAAATCCTCATACTGGTTGTTTACATTTTGTTCCCTTCCAATGTTTGACGGTGCAGTATAGCTTCTGAAATTGAAATGTAGACATTGTTAAGTTACAGTTAAACATTAAAAATTGATAAATAATTCGTAATAATAATGAAAACCAGTAATCATAACGGCCAACAAATGGTATGGTATTAGGAAACCAGCTACTTCTTACATATTGAAAAGCCGTTATTCTGTAAAAACGATTGTAACGGGTAACACATTAGCAGTGTACTAGTCAGAAGCAATATTGCTTATGGAATTTAGATATACAAGTATAGCAGCATCAGTGATTATATAATATAATAAATAATTTATACGTCGTGGAAAAGTTCATTGATCCTGTACAAATTGAATGTTTGTCGTATATTATCAAAATTACATGCATAAACCAACGTATAAGAGCTTGAAAGATTGGATTGTACAGAAAGAAAGGGGTACATATCTTAATTATGCAATCTCTAAAATTTTT